TCTCTCTCTCTCTCTCTCTCTCTATCCTCTCTCTCTCTCTCTCTCTCTATCCTCTCTCTATCCTCTTCTGTTCTGCTTTTCTCTTTCCTCTCTACTCTCTTTAGAGTTATATACTTGTTAAGACCTCCAGAATGGTGACAGACAAACAAACCTCTGGATATCTTAGTGGGTGCCAAGATCCCATCATGGAGCCCCTGCCTCACCACACGGTTCATAAAAGAAACAACAAGATTCTTGAAACCACCAACCAGATTCTAAAGCTGCTATTGGGAGAGGTGAGTTGTGCCGAGGATTATAGGTTAATTTTTTAGTACAGAACCCATCTATAGACCGAAATTATAATTCATACGCAAACATTGCTACTCATCACCAGTAAGTGATATTTGCCAATCTATCCAACTAGAGGCAATATATAGAGTTCATCTCAGTTTAACCTTTCGGACATGGCAGTCATATCCCTTACAAATTGCAGTGACAATTATCCAGTGATGGGGGTTTAATAAAACAGTTCAAAGTCAATTATTTTGTATTAATCCCCCATCACTAGATGATTTGATAATACACCAGAGCCCAGCATTGAAGTACTCAACAAGTATTTGCACTGCACTGTATTTTCACTTTGCCATATAATCGTTAGGAGATAGGAGATTGTTGGTTTAATTGCATACCGGGGACTCCAGACATTTAGGAGCCTTATAGTCGAGTGTTTTTTATGGTTTTTTTTGGTATAGTTTGTTATTTAGTAGCAGATGGGAAGCATCTGGATGGTGACTGTGTCATTGTGTGCATCAGGTTCCTATAAGATGTCAGGATATCACTGTCCATTTTTCAAAGGAAGAGTGGGAGTATTTAGACGGACAAAAGGACCTCTACGAGCATGTCATAATGGAGAATCAGCATCCTCTCATATCTCTGGGTAAGCATTAAAGAAAATATTGATCTGAAAGTTAATTTGTTTGTGTTTGAGACAACTGCTTGGTAAAAGAAGGGGTTCTATCTTTGCTGTTACTCTACAGCTGCTTCTCTGTATGGTGCATGCCTCTGCCGACATTTACCCTTTTATTTTTCAAGGAGGTCACCTGATCTACTATTCACTCATTCTCTATATTCGAGCAGGTGGACATGTCTGCCACATCTTATGCCAGCATTAGGCCTAAAGTTCTTGAAGTAGCTCTTTGAGCTGCCAGCAGTTCCCAGTACTTGTTGTTACGTTGGACCCTTTCGGTTATTGTTTTCTGTATTGCCAACCCCTCTATTGGACTACTTTTGAATGTTTTAAAGGTTCAAAACGTCCTGTGTCCCCAAATGAACCAGTAAAAACAAAAATGATGTTTGTACTCACCGGAAAATCCATTAAGGGATCAAAGGTCCCACCCCTCTGTGCTTTTCACTATGCTCTCCAAACTGCTTTGCTGTACACCTGAGGCACACTGATAGTCGGAGGGGGTTGTATGGCCTTTTTTTTCCCCCCCAGTGTCCTTACCTCCTTTTAAGTGGCAGTATAACCTGAAAGTGTAAGACTTCCTGTGACCCTCAATTGACTTTGAGAAAATTATTTTACAGTGAGTTTTTGATAAAAATGGGTAAGGGCTAGACCCATGTCAGCTTTTACTGTTTCCCGGGGGCTCCATTCCCTCTCACTTCCTGTCCTGGTAGAAACATTTTACCAGGTAGGAAATGATGATACATTTGCAACTCAGAGGTTTGTTTGTTTGTTTTTTAGTAGAGTAGAGGAGCGCTTAAAACCCTGTGAGGTTTGTATTTCTATCTGTGTTCCTGATGCAGATTTTTCTTTACTTCCTGCCTGGTTACTCTATTGTCAGCAGGACAGGACAAGTTAAATCTCTGTTTGGATGCACTTTCAGTATTCTACACCAGGGGTCAAAATTTCAAGTCCTGAGCCACTAGCCAGGCCTTAAGAGTTACTCGCCACCAGCTGCCCACCTAACCCCTACCCTCCTGCGACCTTAACTCCGCCCCTAAACACACCCTCTTAAATAATCTTATCAATGAGACTGTTACATGTTTTATGCAGAATTAAGTTACAAATATTGTAGCAAAGAGGGAAAATAAGGGTTTGTGTTGGCTACCAGAGTGACAATTCCAATACACAGCACATCATTTTTTTATATATAAAAGTAGAAAATGTTATTACTTCATCAAAAACAAAATAATTAAAACAGACATAGGATAATGCAATTAAAATAGAGAGAGTTCTCCCCACAAGGGGAACCTCCCAGTGACCCCCTGTCCGGCCCCACAAATATGGTTCAAGTACAAAAGAAAAAAACACTATATCAATAGCATTGGTATTCAGACTAAGGAGTCTCTGGTGTAGATGAGAATGAAATAATGAACCTTGTGGTGGGACAACCGAAATTGGTAGGTGTATAGCTATGACCGGAGAGGTCAAGCAGTACTGATGAGGCTCGAAGCGTTTCGCGCTGTGATGCGCTTAGTCAGGAGCAGAGGGTGTCCCCTCGGTGCACAACCAGTGGATGTCCAGCACGGACAGCAGTCATTGACGACAGCCTCTAGTTCTGAGATGGAAGATGGTAGGAGCACATCCAAGCTGCCTGTAGAAGCAACCCAAATCAGGGGGAGTTGGTTTGTGTTGTATAGAAACCGCATCGAAAGGCTAATAGGGCAGCCTAATGGCATAGAAATCCACCGGCAGAAGACCGCAGATGCTTGTGTGGTCGTCTCCAGCCACCCACCGTCTCCAGCCACCCACACAAGCATCTGCGGTCTTCTGCCGGTGGATTTCTATGCCATTAGGCTGCCCTATTAGCCTTTCGATGCGGTTTCTATACAACACAAACCAACTCCCCCTGATTTGGGTTTCTTCTACAGGCAGCTTGGATGTGCTCCTACCATCTTCCATCTCAGAACTAGAGGCTGTCGTCAATGACTGCTGTCCGTGCTGGACATCCACTGGTTGTGCACCGAGGGGACACCCTCTGCTCCTGACTAAGCGCATCACAGCGCGAAACGCTTCGAGCCTCATCAGTACTGCTTGACCTCTCCGGTCATAGCTATACACCTACCAATTTCGGTTGTCCCACCACAAGGTTCATTATTTCATTCTCATCTACACCAGAGATGTTCCCTGCCCCCCCACACATAACATAATCCCCTCCCCTCCTTCTCTGCCCCCACAATGTAAAATAATACAATGAACACCTCACCTGCTTGTCTTTCTGCAGGGAGGAGGGAAGCAGGCAGATCCCTGGTGATCTAGTGTGATTAGTAAGGTCTGCAGACCTTACTAATCACCTTGTTTTCGACCTGGAGCTCAGTGAAGAGCTCCGGATGAAAGGAAAGGAGACAGCAGGAGCAGCTGCTTCCACGAGTCAGGTACGTGGTCTGAGACCGCAAGCCTGACCAGAATTTCCACTCGCCTGCACTGCATTTCCACTCGCCAAATGCGAGCAGGCGAGTGTAAATTTTGAGCCCTGCTCTACACATTAGTAAGACTATTATTTTCATTGCAACAGAACAAAAAACCATAAGCGCACAACTGATACTTAGTCACTGGAAAAATCCCGGGCTGTGAGTTATGGTGTGCAGGCTCTCACTGACAGGGAGAGGACCCTGCAAATTCGAATGGTAAACAAAAACAAACAAAAAAGAGCGCTACTACCTGATATTGAATGGCATCTATTCATGAGAGAAAGACCAAATATGTGTAACTTACAGTTGGAAGTCCGCAAATGTGTTGAACCAATGACCGGTGTACAGAGGAAGTCCAAAGCCGAATACTGCAGCAGTGGATGGATGAGGGGGCGCTGTGAAGTTTCCTAGCGGCACGCGTGCACGGCTGGCCAGGCCGGGCCACGGCGGCTAAGGGGGGAAGGACCGCGGCGGTTGTGGAACCGGGACCGCGAGCGGCTGTGTTCGGTGCGTGTATAGTGGAGTCAGATCAGTAGGCAAAGTATCGACAGGGCGTCTGAGTGGGTGGACGCTGTGCACAGACAGGCTCGCTATATCGTGATGACTACGCGTTTCGAGGCACAACCTCTTTGTCAAGTCTTAGGGCAAAGATGTGTGGCGGGAGGCACAGCACACTTTAAATCTGACACATGGGAGGGGAGTAGTGAGCTATAGGCCAATCATGGAACAGTGTTCAAGGAGAGGGAGGGACAGATGAATGACGGGACACGCCCCCCGGGGGCGGACACAGCAGAGGCTGTGCTGTTAGCGATCTAACTTTCTCTTTGGGTGGATCAGAGGTCTATCTCGCAATAAAGATTATGTCCCTCATGATACATGTAAAAACGAGTGGGGGTGGGGGGGGTAGGGACACACAAACAAATTTGGAATCCTTTATTTTAAGAAAATGATTAAGAACCATTAAAAACGATTTTTATATATATATCAGTGATGCATCAGTTTAAAAAGATTTTAATATATCAGTTTAAAACAGAGTGAGGGGGGAGAGGGAAGGGGTTTTCAAAAAAGGGGGGCTTGATCAATTAGTTTACATGGCATGACCTTTGGTGCTAGAGATTGAATTTCAAAGAACAATTCATTCTTGATTTTGGTATTAGTATAATATAGGAGTGTGTTCATTTTAGGCATATGGAGGTTCCGAACTAGTATATGCCACTAGCATGCAAATCTTCTAGAAAATGGCTCGCTATATCGTGGTGACTATGCATTTTGAGGCACCACCTCTTTGTCAAGTCTTAGGGCAAAGATGTGTGGCGGGAGACCACTAACAATAGCAACATTAGGTTCATTGCCACGTATAACAATAGTTTTAAAGCCATTCAAAATGTCATTAATAAAAACTGGCATATATTAAAAAAGGATCCCAGATTAGGCCCAATCCTACCCCCCAGACCCACCATTAATTTTAGAAGGTCAAGGAACGTGAAAAATAGGATAGGACCCAGTCGTCTAACTCATGGATCGGACATTACATCAAAGAATTTTCTATTTGACGACAGGGTAGGAATCTTTCAATGTAAAAAACCGAGGTGCCTAACTTGCCAATTTATCCAACACGGTCAAACCAAATTCTTTGACCACCTCAAGAAACCATACTATATTAAACAATTCATCACATGCTCCCACGACCACGTGGTTTATGGACTGACTTGCCCCTGCGGACTTATATATGTGGGCCGCACTATACGCCCATTACGAGCTAGAATTGGCGACCACAGACGTCTAATTCAGAAAGGGGATCTGGATCACAGTGTCCCCAGACATTTTACCTCGAAACATCACAAAAACACCCAGGATCTCCATGTTTTTGCCATTGAGCATATTTCTAATCACTTATCACCATCGGAACGGTTTCACTCTCTATGTAAAAGGGAGACGTTCTGGATTTACAAACTAAACTCCCTTTCACCAGTCGGCCTTAACGAGGAAATAGAGATTCACACTATATTATAAATTGTGTAGTGTCACCCTTTTTATATGTCATATACCACGGCACTTAATTATTCTATCTGTTGCATTCCCAGTGCTTCTTATAAGAGTGCATTCATTTACCGGATACACACACACAGATGCGTTCGCCCATGCGCAAATAGGCATTTGTTTTTTATTGAATTTTAATTAAATTTTAATATTACTTGTAATACTAATGTTGATTTGGGTATGAATTGCGGACTTCCAACGGTAAGTTACACATATTTGGTCTTTCTCTCATGAATAGATGCCATTCAATATCAGGTAGTAGCACTCTTTTTTGTTTGTTTTTGTTTACCATATTATTTTCATTAATAAACTTATATATAGGAATGTTGTTGTTGTTGTTCATTGTGCTGTCAGACACCTAAACATCTCATCTCTGGTTTATGCAAGGGCATGTATTGTGAGATGTTGTTAGACTTTCTATACATGACTGAACACATTTTTCAGCTGACTCTCTCTCTCATGTGATTATCAGGCCATAATTAAATCTCCGTGTCTGCTAATTTGAAATTAGATGATCATAAGAAATTATTGTAATTGATCTCATTGGATTGTTTTCAATGCCTGTGAATGGGAGGCTTCAAGTGAACCCATGTCGTTTCCTCAAGCAGTTAGACTGTCCAATCAACATAAGCTGGAGGCACTGCTGCAGTTTGCAGTGTTTGAGCAAAAAAAAATCTAAAAACTTGAGAATGAATATGAGAACTGACAAGTTATTTCCCATTTCTATTGCACACAATGCAGTTCCATCGTAAAAGCTCCCCCCCCTCCCCGATTTTGTAAATTTCTTGGCTAAGAATGCTTGTTCTTACCTGCTTGGACTTTCTTTGTATTCTTCCGTGCAGATGCTTTGATACAGCTTACAGAAAAACATCATGTGTGCACCTAACCGCCTATTGTGGCTGTTTACTGCTGGTTATACTATTTCTTTAAAAAAAACAATTAACACACAACTTTTTTAATTTAATTTAAAAGTCTAAATGTGTAATGTTCATGTTATTTCCACTAGATGAGAATCTACCTGCAAATAAGCCTGATGGATATCCCTTTATCTCTTGCCATGTAGAAGATAGAAACAAAACCAATGTTGGTATTAACTCCACCCAGAGCAGGTCAGTCATCAGCAGAGGTGACAAGGAATCCATAGACAACAGGAGAAAAAATATACCCAGTGCACGTGGAAGTGTCCCAGGCATCCCTGTCAACATCGAATCTCCAGACTCCAGCAGCAAGAAACAAAAGTGTCCCTGCTCTGAATGCGGGCTCTGGTTTTCCAACAAGTATAAACTGGAGACCCATCAGCGGCTGCATACCGGGATAGACATGCATTCATGTACTGAGTGTGATAAAATCTTCCTAACAAAACAACGATTAGAGGTCCACCAGAGAACTCACACAGGAGTCAAACCTTTCAGCTGTCCTCAGTGTCACAAACGCTTTACCACTACGGGGAGCCTTGCCATCCATAAGACTACACACTCTCTAGAAGTCTGTTCTTGCCCTATGTGTGGACAAAGCTTTAAGAGCAAAACAAACCTCCAAAACCACCTAATGTTTAATCACATATGCCCTGCATGTGGGCAAGACTTTGAAGCAAAGTGTGATTTAGAGGAGCACATAAAGAGCCATCCAGAATTAAAAAGCCAGCACTCCTGTACTGAATGTGGAAAGTACTTTCTCCAGAAAGGGAGTCTTAAAGCTCATTATCGAGTTCACACGGGGGAAAAACCATTTCCCTGTCTGGAATGCGGAAAAACGTTTGCATACAAGTCTCACCTTATTTCCCACCAACGTTTTCACACAGGGGAGGTGCTAACATGCCGTTATTGTGAGAAGTTCTTTGTGGACCGGGCACGTCTTGTGGAACATGAACGTATTCATACCGGAGAAAAGCCGTTTGCTTGCTCAGAATGTTGCAAACACTTCAGCCGCAACAGTCACCTCCTAATGCATCAACGGACGCACACTGACATTCGTCCTTTTCAGTGTACTGCTTGTGGGGTGCGTTTTAATTGCAAGTCAACAGCTAAGAAACATTGGGAGCAGTGCAGATGCAAAAAACGCAAAGCCTTAAACGGATTCAATTAAATGTCGGGTTGTTTATGTTTAAGAGATTTGATTTGGACAGGAACACTTTTTAAGCAATATGTAGAAACAAGGATTTTAAAATTGTCGCAGCGATTAAAAACATTTTATTAATGTGCTTTAACATTTTTAAGTAGTGAAAGACAAGACACAGAGAGCGCCTCCATCACATAAAAACCTTTTAATAAACAGATAAAAGATGGTATAAAGGTACTCGCAATAGTAGAGTAAAAAAAGGCATATAGGGGTCAGAACGAAAGGTGCATATCCACCGGCTGTTTGTCTTCCCTGGTAGTAAGTGGTTTACGCGTTTCATAGGTCACGCCTCCTTCCTCCAGAACCAATTAGGCGTGACATCTCAATTGTATAAATTGTAACATGCTCTGGCACCAGTCCAGAGGAGTACATAGAATGGGGAAGGAAAAGAACGAAAAAAACAACAACGCTGTGTATATGTCTGCTGTCCCTTAAGGAGGATTGGATACCGGGGGGAGGTGGGGAGTTGGCCTGGTATAAAGCCTCCTATGGCCATCATGTTTCCATTTTTTATTTTTATTC